AGAGAGAGAGAGAGAGAGAGAGAGAGAGAGAGAGAGAGAGAGAGAGAGAGAGAGAGGGAGGTTAATGTGCATAACATTTCGACTGTGTGTGTGTGTGTGTGTGTGTGTGTGTTTGTGAGAGTTTGTTGAACTTTCTTCACCACTCCCCTAATCTTACTGAGTTGTGTGATTTCATGGTTGTGGCATTGCAGGTGTGTGTGCAAAATCTTGGGCGACCGGCAGGAATGGCGTTGTATGATTTCACTGTTGCCACATCGGAGGCTTTTTTCAAGGGATTCACAAGAGACCAATTAGCGCTTGAGCTGAGGGTACAACCTACCTGATCTCACCTGACCTGACCTGATCTCACCTGACCTGACCTGACCTGACCGGACCTGACCTGACCTAACCTGATTTGCCCTGCCCTGCCCTGACCTGACCTGACCTGACCTGATTTGACCTGACCTGGCCTGACCTGATTAGTCAGGGTGCAGGCCGATTGTTGGATGAGGGAATTAGAATGTGGCTTTGTCCTCAATGAAACCCCCTCGCATATGTAGACCAGGCACAGTGTTTGAATTGTACATAACTAGAAGCTCAGCTGTGTCAGTACTAACAACAAGCATGCCAATCGGATCATAGCCTCAAACTTTCAAATCCTTTTAGCAATTTAGGCACAAGATTGCAATGATCAAACCCCTGCAAGGATCAAAACCCTTACAAAGGAAAGAGGGAAAAGAAAAAGGACTCCTGCCATTGATTTCTATATGTCAGTGTACATCTTTCCCTTTCTGCATGTACCTTTCTCAGGGCACACTCACACTTCTTCGTCTTCTTCTTCTTCTTCTTCTTCTTCTTCTTCTTCTTCCCCCCCCCCTCGACATTGCCGAGTTGTGCCACCAGTGGTGATAGGAGAAGCCACTGCCAGCACTATCTTCTTCTTCTTTTCTTTTTTCTTTTTTCTTTTTTCTTTTTTCTTTTTTCTTTTTTCTTTTTATTGAGCCGGCTTCAGCTTACTAGGTGGAGTGATATGAGCGCCTCTGCCTAGTAGTCTTCTGCCAGTTGCTCCAATCTATCGGTGGGGAGCAGCACCTCCTGGAAAACGGGTCCAACGCCCCTCATACATCCATTGTTGTCACCATGAGCACGGGGGCCCTTACCCTTTTTTTTTGTTTTTTTCTTTCCCAAACAGCCCGAGTGGATGCTAGGGGTGCTGATAAGAGCAGGCACCACTAGCACTCCGGGGGAGGCTCCAATCTACTGGTATTGGTGGGGAGCAGCACCTGCTGGAAAACGGGTCCAGCGTCCCTGAACATTTCGGTTGCTCTTAGTGTACACAGGTGATTCTGTGCTACTCTGTGCTATTGTGCCATTCTATGTTATTCGGTGCCATTCTGTGGGATTTTGTTGTAGTTGTTTGGTCATATTATGCTGCTGTGGGTTATTCCGTCCTATTTTGTGCTATCCTATGCTATCCTGTGTGTTATTCTGTGCAGTTCTTGTGCTAGCTATGGCACGAAGGCTTACTCTGTGCTATTCCGTGCTATTACGCACTATTCCATGCTATTCTGTGCTATTCCGTGCTATTCCGTGCTATTCTGTGCTATTCTGTTCCGCTGTGTGCTGCTGTGTGCTGCTCTGTGTGCTGACTATGCTGACTGTGCTCGTTCTGTGCTGTTTTGTGCTGCTCTCTGCTCATTCTGTGCCATTGTGTGCCATTCTGTGTTCTTCCTTTGCTCGTCTCTATGCAGTTCCATTGTGCGCTTCCAGTCTGTGCTATCCTGTGCTATGCTGTGGTGCTCAGTTCTCGTTCTGTGCCATTCTGTGCTATTATGTGCTCACATTCTTTTCTCATTCTATACTGCTCTATTTTGTTCTGTGCGGTGTTACCAACCAGGCCGCCTGAGCGCCTTGGTTGCCCAGGTGGGCGGGACGGGCAAGGCCCGGGGAAAGTCCCTGTAAAAAAAAA